TCTATAAATTTAGAGAGTTAAAATTTTGAAGTTCTCCAACAAGCTCTTCATATTTAACACTTAATTTTACTACTCCTAAAAAATATTTATTATTTTTATTTATCTTTTATTTTAACTAGCTTTTCTTTAGATTATTTTATTATTTTCCTACATTGAAAATTGAAACACTTTGAATGCATTTAATTATAGAGAGTTTGACTCTTCAAATTCAGAGAGTCAAACCCACTCTCTAAATTAAAATGTTAATTTAAAGAGTTTTTTGGATCATGATTTTAAATGTTGACTCTTTAAAATAGAGAGCATTTCATGTTTAAAGAGTCTCTTGGAAATGCTCTAAATAGTTCACAACTAATATCTTATGTAATAGCGAAAACCAGTCTTATATATGTGTGAACATAGCAAGTGAATAAAACAAGCATGACTATAGTTGTTCTAAAAAGTGCGTCCAGGAGTGAGGCACGGGCAACACACTTTATCTTGGCAGTAAGCACAGTTGACCTCTTAATGCATGGCACACCTAGGCACGCTTTTTTCCCTTTTTTAAAAACCTTTTATTTGACTTTAATTTATTAACTTTTTATTTTTATTTTTATTTTTATTTTGCTTTATTGTTTTTATTTGACTTTAGTTTTAAAAATTTTAAATACTTTATTTGTACAAAAGTCAAAAATGACTTCATCTGATAAATATTTAGATAAACATTTAAGCTACGATGCTATCTATATTATGTAATTATAATTTTGAGACTTATCATTTTGTTAGGAACTTCGACAATATGTATGAAGTTCCTATAAATCTGTTAAGTAGGACTTGTTTAGTTTAAAGTTAAAAATATGAAAAATAATCTAGTTTTTGCATTTCGAAAGTTTGAAAATTGTATAATTGATTAATTGTAGGAATTATTAAGTAAATAATATTTTATTATTTTAGATGTTTGGTATGTAATATTTTCATTATTAAATAATTTTTAGAATGATTAAGGAATTTAAAATAATAATAAAAATAAGTTACACTTTTTCACTCATAAGTTCATAAAATGTGAAACTTGATCTCCACGCCTAGCCATGCTTTATACTTTTTAGAATATTGGTTATAACACACTTGTTTCATCGGCCACATCAAGATGGTTCATTCTTGGAAATGGATTCAAGTTGGCAACCAGCCTACACAATTTTAACAAAAGAACACAATTCATAGAGAATACATATAATTGCGGCAAGCAACTATAAATGACAATAAACAAATGATTGATGATTTAGATCTCCAAAAATTATAAAGGGAAAACTATAAAGCCACACTTGTGAAAAAAGTTACCAACCATTTGGCTCTTTTCCTCTTCCTGAACTTCCTTAAAACGTGGAACCGGCATGCCATTGTAAAAGCAGATGTATAATCAAAGTTTATACAAACCAAATACCCAAAATGAAAATGGATTAAATAATCCGGTAGGCTTAAATTTTAGACAAAACATATTTTTGTTTCACCCCTACCCTATATTCATAATTCATCCCATATATATGCACAAAATAATTTATAATCTGTACCATATTTAAACTCTACAGGCCAAAAAAAAAGAAGAAGAAGAAGAAAAAACTCATTATCTCTCACCTTTTTCATCTTTTAAGTAAATTGTTCCACATTATACTTGTAAGTATGTAGATCCGCATGCAAAATAAACAGATGTCTCTACGTATGTATGGGTGCGTACTTGAAGATAGAATGGCCTGATCGAAACTGGTGGTATGGGAGTGCAAAAATGATCATGAATTGTATAGCCATATCTTATTCTTCCTCAAGCTGCGAGCAGTTGCTATAAAACCTCAAATATATCTAAATAGATAATTCTATAAGAAAAATTTGTCCGAAAATGCACCTCTCCAACATTGTATATATTTAATCAATTGAAAATAAAATCTTCCCGGGTCACAAAATTGGAAAAATAAAATAAAAATGGACTTGTTCTTGGCTCACTTGGGATTGTAGGGTGACTTCATTTTCTTGCTTTGGTTTCTCAGCAATTTCTTCATTTCTATTTCCTTTTTCACTTTTTTCATTTCCATCTTCAAATGAAGAAGCCATACTGTTCCCTTCCCAGATAAAGAGTAAGTACCATCCACCAATTTTTATTTTTATTTTTTCTGAGACCCCTACAATTTTGAGTTCCTAGGACATTGCCTTGTTGGCTTTGGTCTATATGATATTATGTAGCCTTACTACTCAAAGAATTGAATTAGCGCTCGTTTGGGCGCCATTATTGTGGAAAAAATGCATTCTTCTATCACATTGCCCACCATGTTAAAGCTAGTCCAAATGGTGTTATACATATATATGGTCAACTTCCAATCTTACTCCTATCTTGAAATGTGAGCATGTATTGTTCCAAATAAAAGCCATGCATTTTTTACTTTTCCAAGTTCACTTTGGCAGATTGTTGTCAATTCGGTGTCAGAAATCAGGAAAAAGAAAGAGTTTTGAACTGTGTAACGATTAAAAATTGTCTAAAAATGAGATGAAAATGAGCTCCAAACTGGGGCTTAGTAAGTATTTCAGGTTACAAAAATCTATAATTGACAAATATACTGTATTAAAATGTGCATTGGTGGACTAATTTAATTTCTTTTGGTTTTGAATTTAAAGAAATGATCAGCTTACCAATGAAATTGTTGCCAAGCGCTGTATTGACATATGTAAAGTTTCCTTCTGATATGTTCAAAATTTACTCTTTGTTTATATTTTTATAGCAAGAGAGGTGTTAATGTTATTTTATGTTTCCCATCAACCAAATTTTTTAGTGATAATTTTGTTCTTACACATTCAATTTACATTGACAATTATATCCATTAACATAAAGGTTGGATCGTGAAAGTATCGTGCATATTCTTTTCACCTCCAAGAGGCAAGAACAAGTGCATCTATGCCTGTATCATTCTCCTAAGAGTGAATTCTAAATGTGTCAAGAAATCCACTCATTCTCGTTGATCACCAGTGTAATATATGCTCGGCTCTTTTTGGCGTCCAATTAATCTCCTGTATATATGTTATAAAGGTTTTGTATTAATAATATGCAATAAACAAAGTGCGTGCTTGGTATGAAATATTGGACTGTACAGTGAACAAAATTTTAGTTGCTTTTTCCTTCTTGATGTTGTCCGGTGCTATCTAATCCATCTCACCAAAGATGCCAAAAGATCATGAATAAAAGTGCACGTACTTTCAAAAATAGTATTTATTTGGTTGCACTACTCTGGCAGGATTTGCTAGTTCTAATTCATTTCTCTCATCTTTTTATTTAGTTGCCTGGTCGCACGGATAATGAGATCAAGAACTACTGGAACACTAGAATCAAAAGAAGACAGCGCGCTGGCTTACCAATCTATCCTCCTGATATCTGTACTCAAGCATTAAATGAGAACCAACACCACGAGAACATGGATAATTTCTCATCCGGAGACATCCAACAATCTGACTTCTTGTCGATGAATGTCTTCGAGATTCCACAATTTAATGGTATGGGACTCAATCGGGAGTTGTATACACCTGTCCTTCTTGATATTCCTGCTAGTAGCCTGCTTGTAGAAGGTCTTGACTCTTCTTACCCTAGCAAGTCTTTGCTCTGTACAATGCATCCATCTAAGCGTCCTCGAGGACAGGAATCTATGTTCTCTGGTGTAAGTGCACCTAGTGGTGTTAGTGGTGTACTCCCAGGTAGCAGTCAATATCCGAACGATGGTTCTATGAGGATTGTTCAATCGTTCGGGTTTTCCTCTGCATATGATCATGATTCAACTTCCAACCATGCATTATCCTCGAGCTTAATTCCTGGCTGCCATGCCATTATGAATGGCAATCCTTCTTCTTCAGAGCCTGCTTGGGCAATGAAGCTGGAGCTCCCTTCACTCCAAACTCAAATGGGTAGTTGGGGGTCACCATATTCCCCACTGCCTTCTCTTGAATCTGTCGATACTTTAATCCAATCCCCTCCAACCGAGCTTACTCAATCATGTAGTCTTTCACCCCGAAACAGTGGACTTTTGGATGCTGTGCTGTATGAATCCCAAATGAGGAAAAACTCGAAGAATTATTGCCAGCCAACTTCACCTGCTTCCATTATGCCTGTTGATGTACTGGATACTTCATCTCACAAACTCCATGAGACGGAATGGGAAGTGTATGGAGACCCAATCTCTCCTTTTGGTCATTCATCTTCATCGGTGTTCAGCGAGTACACCCATGTGAGCGCGAATTCATTAGATGAACCCCCATCAGCAGAGACCATGCCAGGTCTGAATATTTATTTATTTGGTATATCAGAATTGTATACTTGGTATTTAACCCCAATGTGTTAGGTTTTTCTTGTCTTTTCCAGATTGTACTTATGTGATTCCTGCATTATTTGAAGGATTTAAAGTTAAAGAAGCAGAAGCTGGCACAGAAAAACAGATGATCTTCTCCCGGCCAGATTTCTTGCTTGCCTCAAGCTGTTCAGGTCTTAATGAAGACCTGACCAAGGACTATTCTTCACTGAAAGATGCATTCGGACCATTTCTTGGCGATGATTTGGGCAAGGATTGCAAACAAATTGACACTTCAGCTAGTTCATCAGGTCAAGGGTGCGAACACGATTCTCGTGCATGGAATGCAATGTCTACTGCCTAGCCAATTTCTTGTAACCAATGGAATCTTGAATTTCGATGTCTTGAACAACTTTTGTAATTGCCGTGTTTACTTGTGCTTTGAACAAAGTTGTCACAATTCTGAAAAGAACTGTAGGAAACATCATAATTGGCTTCATAAACCAGGAAGAGTTCTATGACATTTTGTGTTGGTTTTAAGGTTGTAAAATACATGCTGTAATTTGTGTGTCTCACCAGAGGTATACGCAGGTTTTTGTTAATGGTTTCGATGACTGAACCGTGTTTGATAGTAAACTTTGTTGCTGGCAGTTTTTCCTTCTATTAGACAGGTTGCTTTTACATGTGTATGTGTGCGCGAGCATGCTCGCACTTGCGCATGCTATGAATGATGAAATTGTTGAAGATGAAGATCTTATTCTTAGGTCAATGTCACATAGTCATTTAAACAGGCAATACCCTGCTAAAAATTACCTAGTCTAATTCTCTCTTGACAAATTTTACCGTAGTTAAGCATCAGTGTCTTCAAGAGAATTTTCCGCCCCCTTTGGAGATGGATACTAGGCGGAAGGTAGTAGAATCCCTTGGAGGAATGCTGAAATCATGGTTAGTGCCCTTTGTGGCTGGTAACTTGGAACCAAATGTCCAGCTCCTCTCACTGTTACAAATGTTAATCCTTTGTATTCCACCACATATCCTCCTACCTGCCATTAAACGCATGCAAGTATTGAACTTAGAAGTTATCGCCACATAGATGCCATAAACCTGACCCGAAACCAATTTGACTATCAACCATTTGACAACTTGCAAAAACTTAGTATGTATACGTTGCATGACTTGACTAATGAGTCAATGTGGTTATACTATGTAGATATGTCCTTCACCACAGATCTGTGAAAGTTTTGGCCAGGGCCGTACCTGTGTTTCACAGGGAACATCAAAATTTGGGCTCCTAAATCGTAGCAAGTAATCAATTTTTTTCGTTTATAGAAGTTTTAGGAACTAAATTTGTTAACTTAAAATCAACAATAAAACAACAGTTAAATATTCACATGGTTATGCATATTCCCACCTCGTTGTCAAGGTACCACGGGTGCCAAGAAGTCTGGATTGGAAGGTTAAGGCTGTTTATCGAGTATCTTGATGATGTAACCGGAACATTTGCATCTATGTCACCACTGAAAAAGACATTGTCTTTCAGTTCGATATAAATAGTGTAGTTGTAATAGACAAAATTCAATTCGAAGAATGCCTTAATGTAAGAATAGAACTTGCCTGTATATCCAGACCCTAAGGCCATTACCTATCAGATCCTTAATTACTGGCAAAATGGTGTCCGGGCTGTCTGTCCAGTTATAAGGTCTGCAATAACAAGAACATAAGAAGTCGCAATAATGGATATGTATGTGTTGGACTGGATGGAGCCTAATTATACTAGGTGTACTTATCCTGCTGATTGCTGATCGACCTACTATTCAGACTATATAAAGGATTTATTAGGAGGCCATATTTTGGGCGTCAGACATGATACATCGAGAGAGAGAGACGAGGAAAACTCGTGTACACCTTTTGATCCAATATAGAGAAAACGTGTAGCAGCGAGTGGGCCTAATTCTCACATTGAGAGTAAATCGCTATAAACCTGCGGAGGCTTAATCCACAAGAGTCTGCTTTGTGAATGTTATTTGAAGTTACCCAGTCTGTTCATTTGTACCTGCAGGCAGTCCAATTTGTGGACTTGGTGTGGAGTGCGCTTTGCACGTCTGGATTATTCAAGTAGGACTCCACGTATGTATCCGAGCATGGATCAAAGTAGTTAACCTGATTAAATCAGTGAAAATGTCTGGAATGAACTTATCATCATGAAATCGACTCAGTAAAGTAGGCAACAAAATCACAAAATTGCTTACAGAACCACCGGAGCCGTTTCTGAGAGACTTGTTTAAGCAAACCGGAGCATAGATGTTATTTATCTCGATATTTCCTATTTCTTCGGGGGTTTTGTCTGCGTAGCTCCAGCATTCATCAGATAAATTTCCATTCAACAAACCACAAAATTTTACGATTCCATTATGTGTTTCATCTGAATTCAAGGCGTGTGTCCAAAAGTAATCGTAAATCCCTCGTGCTGTTGTAAGGTCTTCAATCCATGCATTTCCCATCTGAAAAATTCAAAAAATGAAAATCTGGCAAGAGTGCTGTAGATTCCGCCTTAATAAACGAGCAAAAATTGTGTACACATGTTGTATGGAACTTACAGCAATGCCTTTCAGATTGATAACAGTATGATTTGAATTCTTATTGTTGAGCAGTATGGTATATGCAAGTTGAGGCACATAATGACCGGAGTAACTCTCACCGGTGATGTAAAATTCCTGGGTTTTGTATTGAGGAAACCTCTCAAACCAGTTGATGAGAAAAGAATAGGCATCACTAGCAGTACTCTTATCACCGGTGGTGTTATAAGGAGAAGACTTTTTCGTGTATGAAAAACCAACTCCAGCTGGTGACTCCAAGAAAATTACATTTGCCACTGCAGGAAATCAAAGTGGATTCGAGATTCAGAAACTAAACATTTTTCAAAGAACATATTAGAAATTTGATGGCTCGTTTGATAGGGTGGACCCCACAATATTCGCATTCGACAATATTAAAAAAAAAAAAGCTAAAATCTTGTTCATGGTACTATTGAGTCCATTCTAGTACTCACCATTGTTCCACGCATAATTATTTCGAAAAAGAGTTTTTCCATCACTACCGACTCTAAAAGGGCCTAATTCTTCCATGGCTCCATATCCAATGGAGGAACATCCTGGACCTGTTAATCACACATGCAACAAATGTAATTTAATCTCTATACAGCAGCAAAATTATAGCAATATTTATGATATCTTCCGTATGCTTGACTGGACAACACTGAACACGATTAAAGAAGAAACTGTACAGTATTGTGTTTTAAACACGCCCCTACCATCTCTCTCTTCATAAGCACGTGGAGGAGGAAGTTGTTAGGACCTTATCAAACTACACAATGCCTCTTTGTATGGACATAGGATTATATCAACACTTGAGGCACGTTGATATGCCGAACTGGACAAAACTTGACACGATCAAAGAAGAAATTGTACAATACAATGTTGTCTCGAAGGAAGTTATTAGGAATTATGGAACTAGACAATGCATCTTCTTAACCATTTTTCTTACCTCCATTTAACCATAGAACCAAAGGGTTGGTCGAGGAATTCTTTGGAGACTCGACAAAGTAATAAAACAACGATCTTTGAGCCGCTGGATCAACCGTAACATACCCTGCATATTGATCAAATTCAACCATATCAGGTTGTCCAGGCAACTTGTCAATCTTATCGGCTTGCATTAGACCATCTTGGGGTGCAACATACACTGGAGAATAATCTCTTGTTTCATCTAATTGTGCCCAGGTGCTTGAAATTGGAGAATTCTGTGATTTTCTTGACATAAAAAGTCTGTGAAGATATGTAATCTGGTTTGCATTACTAAAGCTACAGAGTACAAAAAGACTTAAAAGAGGGATTTGTACTTGCATTTTGCCTAATAATGAGAATAGCAGGTATGCATCTTAATACAGTCTATATATAGAGTAGTAATTGGATGAACTGAACAAGATTAAGAAAAGAGATGTCGGATCTTGTTCAGTACTCTGTATTAAACATATTAGAACTTGTTCAGTAATTTAACATATCAGAACTTCGCTATCAGTCCAATAATTTTTAGCAGGCCGGCTGAATAACATATGTTGTCCTACTCTGGTTGTTTGTAATCAGACTCCTCTTTTGGTTGGTCTAAACAAATCGAAAATGTTGTCTTGTCAGTGTCTTTTTATGTAATGGTCAATGCCATATTCTTCATTTTCGTGCTTTTCGATCTATTAAGAGCTTCTAAAGAAATTATTATTATTGGTCATCAGATTTGAGATTAGAATCACGTAGGCCTAACCTTGTACAGGTTATAAATATTCCCACCACCCATAACCATACAAAAACACGACATGAACCAATTTCAGTACTAGAAATTAGATCATGCTATGGGAATGAAAGAGTGAAAAACATTGTTGCTCAACCTCTAGCGAAATTTCTTGTTAACAGCCGAACTTTATTTTTGTTCCAAAATAATGAATGAAGTGTTTACGAAACCAACAGATTTTACATGTAAGCAATTATGTATATTTTGACCAAAATAATAATGCACTACAATAAGTCTACGCTGCATTCTCATGTCCTTTCCAACAATATCTTCATATAATTAGTTTTACAAATGACACTAGCATCCCAGACTTCCTCACAGAGCAAGAGCACACACCAGTCGACGGCAGTCCGAGGTGAGTACAACAATCCACTATGACCCACAAGCGAACATGAATATCATTATTGAATCTCACCACAAAGCCATTCTTAACAATGCACGTCACTGCTGCCAATTATATTGTTGATTCCGGGACCCAGACACCATGTTTGAGCCACGTCCAGTTCCAGAAGCCCCGTATTGACCCCCATGAGGATAATTTGGACCTCCGGATCCATAGCCACTTCCTCCACCTCCTCGAGGACCAGAACCCGGGATGCCACTTGAACCGTATGGAGGAACCCGCCCTTGAGGCGGATATGGGCCACTACCATAACCTCCACCTTGACCACGATTTGGGTGGTTGTATCCTCCAGAGGGGTTTCCACCGGGTGGGTATCTGCCAGGACCTTGTGAAGGTCCCCGAGGCTTTCCATAATGATGGCTCGGTCCTCCAACAACCTGAGGTTGCAACCCGTTCATTGGTGCATTGGGACCTGGTCGCATCTGAGCATGCGCATGTCCAGATTGCTGAACTGGTGGAAGGCGAGAATGCTGTTGTTGGTGTTGTTGTTTCTGCCGTTTTGCATTTTCTTCATGTTGGCGCTGCTGCTGACGCTTTTTCTTAGTCTGGAACTCATGTGAAGATTCGTATTTGGGCAAACTGAGAGAAACAATTTCAGTGAAAAAAGGTAAGGCACTAATGATAACACAACCAGAGTTTTGTTCAGGAAAAGCATTTATGATGCAGATGAGGTTAAAATATAATGAAAGGAAGAAAAATAGGTATGGCCATGATCATCACAAATTTAAACAAGGAACAAGTTCTTCATTGCCCAAAATAGAATAATCACTTCAATGAAGGATGCAAAAAGGGTTCAGAGATTTAAACCTCTTGGGATCGCACGGCAATGGGTCTGTCCAGAAATACTCAGCATCAAGAGCATCCTTTGCTGATATTCTCTTCAGAATGGAATTAGAAAAAACAGTAAGAGACCTTAAAAAGGGTAAAGGAGCAACAAACTTCCATGACAATCAATTAGCCAATTATGGAACTCTATAATGTCATGTCAGCAACAAATTCTATATGTGATGCCAAGAAATACTCTGGCACCAAGAACATCCTTCACAGATATTCTCTTAGAGAATATTACAGAGAGAGAGAGAGAGAGAGAGAGAGAGTAAGAAACTTGACAAGCATAATAATCAATACACTTCCATAAGAGTCAATTAGCCAATCATGAAAAGGCATAATGTCATGGGCAAAATTTTTATATGCGTTCATCTACTATAATAGCCTTTGTTTGAGCTCCAATTTGTTGAAAAAATAGATTTTACAATAGTGATTTTTTGGAGAATGTGTAGTTAAAAAGTAAGGAAAAATTTTGAGTTTACGAGTAAAATTATTTTATTGGATTAACGTGAGGTTGAAAATAAGTTCGGAGAAAAAATGAGTTTTGAAATAATGGAGCTCAAACAATCGCTTAATATGTGAAAATGTGCAAATAATAGCAAGCACCAAGATCTTGAGATAGTATTGCACAATGAGGAAATTATTTATAAACAAATTTAAAGAGAAAGGTAAAACTTCAGAGATGGTACCTGAGAAGGGTCAAGGGTCAGCATCTTGTCGAGTAAATCCAACGCATGCCGGTCAAAGCTAAAATTTGAATATATATATATATATATATGTCAAATTAATTTTTTTTTTGATAGGATATGTCAAATTAATTTTAATTTGTACACTTGAACAAACGGGACACGTTGATTACTTACTGTCTGAAAAATTCTCTAAGACGTCTTTTCATTGGCCTCGATGGTTTCAAATTGTTGTACCAAGGAATTTTTGAGACCCCAGCCCAAATATCCTCGTTTGGAGCCCCACAGAGCTCAAAAATTTTATTCAATTGCTCTGGCTATAAACAAAAACAACAATATAACTACAATAGCACGGTACATGAAAGAATAAAGGAAAATTCTATTGACACATTAATGAAAAAGAACTAGAAAATCTAGTAAAGTCACATGCCTCTAGGATATCATGGTAATTATGGTATTATCTCAATATGAATAAAAATGGTCTCTATCTGCACATGAAAAAATGGGAACACTACTTACGGACTCGTTGAGAACAATTACGATCTAGTTGATGGCCTATTAGAAATTTAGAAGTAGAGAGCACTCTCGTAGGTCTTCAAGTACAGAAAAATAATGTACCGAGTTCGGTTCGATGATCGGATGGCGTTGCTTCTTCAGCCTGAACTGAGAATCCACATCAATGCCTCTTACTATGATCATATTAAACAATACGAATAAAAATGGGATCTATCCACTCTGAGTCTTAATTTAGTTGTTTTTAGTTAAATAAGCTGATTTGTAAATCTTATGACCTCATATCCAGTTTAGTGACACTTTTGCAACTTAATTAATACTGTCATGGCACTTTTGTCAAATCAAGGAGATTTGACCATTTTATCAACAGGCGCATTTCAGAAATTTCCTATAATTCTACATATTCTATCATTTATTTTTATGTTCAGGACAATCAGTGACCCAATGTCCTATCTGCAGTCTTAAGAGTCCTTGTTCAATTAGGATAAGGTCGTTTATTACTAGTTTAATCAAATTCTTCTTAATGTAGGAGTTCTTTAATTAATGTTAACTAGAATTTTGGATCATCCTACTATTAGATTTAGGGTACACAAGAAAAATATAATCTCTCGATCGTTATAACCAAAGGAATCAGACATTTCTGACCTTCAATATAAAGTTTAGAGTCTAACCAATAGTAAATATAGCTACCTCATCTTTCCCTGGAAATATTGGTTTCCCATGTAGAAGTTCAGCAAATATGCAACCAACTGACCACATGTCAACAGCTGGACCATACTTCGTGGCACCGAGGAGCAACTCTGGTGGCCTACAAAATTTAGGCCGTGATTATCAACCAAATCCTAAATAAATACAGGATCTTGAAACCATTCAAATAGAGACCCATTTAGCTTAGAAACTAATGCTGTCTAATTTAAGATGAAACATTAGGTCTCCTATGAAGCTTACCTATACCATAAAGTAATTACACGGTTTGTAAGATTAGCATTGTGATCACTTGAGAACGACCTGGCAAGACCAAAATCTGCGAGCTTCAAGTTTCCTTCATTGTCTATTAAAAGATTAGAACCTGCAAGAAAAAAATTGAGTACACCTAAATGTTAGCCTCATAAAATGGATGAAAAACTAAAGCTGAATGCTTGTTTTGAAATTAAACCTTTAATATCACGGTGAAGTACTTGATTTACATGACAGTAGTGAAGCCCTGTCAATAGCTGTCTCATATAGCACTAAAAGAAGAGAGAGAAAGTGAAAATCAATTATCTGATTGTCACTCTTCTTTTCCACCAGAAGCATCTGACATTCAGCGATTAAATTATCTTGAATCTTCACACTAACTGTCATACCTTTATTTGTGGAACTGAAAATCTCATTCCAGGACGATCGGCGAGACCAGTCAAATCATGGTCCATGTATTCAAAAACCATGTAAATCCCACCTCTGTATTTGTTACCATCTGTGAGACCAAAAGAGAAAGAAATGCAAGAAATCAACCAAAAGAGTTAACAATCGAATTTATCAAGATGGTTTTAATGAATATAGTGATGATGCTCATTCAGCAAGAGAATAGCTTACCTGGTGGACCTTGCTCATCCTTCTCAGGACCTGGATAACATCACAAACTTAAGATGTGATTACCCAATCACAGTAGAATAACATTTAACAAATAAAATGACAAATACAAGAATAACAAAAAAAGGGGAAGGTAGATATGCCCTCAAAAATTACCTGGAGACGTTACAATCTCCTTCAACTTTATTACATTTTCGTGGTGCAGCTTCTTGAGGATTTTAATTTCACGTATGGCCGTTATAGGGAACTGCAAGCACAAACTCAAGTAATGAAATCTGCAAGTTGCTTCAACAATCATTGATTTACTTCCATATCCTTTTACAGAAATTAAGCAATCTTATAACAACCAATGATCTAATGTACACATTGTTCAAATAAACAATCTTACCCCTTCTCTTTCGTTGTCCATTCGAATTTTCTTCAAAGCAACAATTTCCCCTGTTTTGATTTCTCTAGCCATGTAAACTTGCCTAAAATCAAAAATTGTACGAATTTATAAGGAAAAATAGCAAATAAATTTTAAAAAATCAGATACACATGCAGAGAAAAAAAAGAATCTTCAAACCAAATTGAAAGGAAACAACAGAATACCCATAAGTTCCTTCACCGATCTGCTCCAATTTCTCGAAGCAATCGACACCTCGCGAACCCCATGCCGGCACTTCGCTTATATTTAGTTGCTCCAGTGCTGCTATCGCCATTCTTTATTCCTCCTCTTAATCCCTTTTTTCGTATTTCAATTTCTCTAGCGCGGAATTAGCGTTTAAATATCGAAAGTTAAAAAAAAATTGGAATTTTTCGCTAAATACTACGACGAAGGGAATTCGGAATTAGGGTTTAAGATTGAGTGGAAAAAGGACTTTTTCTATTTTATTTTTATTTTTTTGGTAAATTTTCAGAATAAAAAACAGAAGGTACAGATCAAAGAGAAACCGGTGATGGAAGTTACCGGTGGCTGGCTGTGGTGGTCTACAGAGACGCAAGGTTGTGGCCTGCCCAAAGCGAAAAGGGCAAATCTGGATAATGGACATAAGCTTTAAAAACACTTGAATTAAAGATTCGGATGTTCTTTTTCTTTCTTTTCCGTTAAGCGGGCAAGATATGCTTCCTTAATGGCACAAAATTTAAATAGCATATTTTACTATTTAGAGAGTATTTTACAATTTCGAAAGTATTTTTTTGCAATTTTAAGAGTATTTATAAATTTCGAAAGTAAAAATTTTCAAGTACTTTAACACACTCGGTATATTTAACATTTAATTTTACTACTTTAAAAAATAGTATTTTATTGCTTTTCCCTATTTTTTAGTTTCACTAGTTTCCCTCCAAATTATTATATTATTTTTTTCATTAATAATTGAAATATTTTGAATGTATTTAATTACAGAGAGAATTTGGCTCTCCAAATTTTAAAATATTAATTTAAAAAGCCTATTAGAGCATAATTTTAAGGATTTGACTCTTTAAAATAAAGAGCATTTCATGTTTAAAGATACTCTAAGATTAGTGATGATACAACATCAATTTAAGTGATATTGTGTAATATGCTCGATAAAAGATAGAATTAAATGCTTCATTTAATTTTCCTATCATTTAATGTCACTTGTGTAAGGCCCAAAAATTTCATACATCTTGAAGTGTTACCAAAAATTAATTTCATTTACCTTTATTTACTTAAAATACGGAACGATAAAATTCTTTAATAACAAAATATTACAACATCGATAAATTTGAATTTGAAATAATAAATCATGTCTTTAAAAAAAATTAAACATTTTCAACTAATAAACTTGATAATAACGTTATTCAACAAAACAAACTAATGAATTTAAAGGCATTAAAACTTATTGATTTCGTATGTTGAAATCTCTTGTTAGTCCGCTGCACCATCCCACCACAACTCCAATCAACCCAATCTAACCTATAAAAATTTGTAGGAGTATTTTTAAAAAAACACTCAGTGAGATACGTGCAATTTCCATACGCAATTATATGCAATAACATAGACAATTCATACCACATTTCTCTTTATGGAGTATATCAGTAGTGATGTCAAAAGAGCCGAGCGGCTCGTTGGCTCGGCTTATGAAAAGACGAGCACGAGCCGCTCGAGCTCGTCAAAGACGAGCCCGAGCCACGAACCGAGCGTCCTGCTCGCTAGACAAGCCGAGCCAGGTCGGCTCGCGAAATACACGAGTGCTCGTGCGTGGTGCCCACGAGCCGAGCTCGTGGGCTCGTGAAAAAAAATAAAAAAAAAACAAAACGAAAAAAATAAAAAAAATTTAAAATCAAACGAGCCACAAGCTGAGCCGCTCGGCTCGTGGCTCGTTAGTTCATGAGCTCGTGGGCCAAGCCGAGCTCGCCCATGAGCAAACGAGCCGTGAGCCGGCTCGGCTCAGCCTATTGACACCACTGTATATCGGTGACCAAGCGAGATACCCATCATTTCTCATTTTGAATTCTCGAAGGATTTCACATTTCATTGGAAAGAACCCAAAAGAGTTCACATTCCGTTAGGTCGAACCCGAAGGTCCACTGACAATTCATGCATAAATTATTGAATATAAAAGTATAAGGAAACAAACAATTTGCACAAAAGTATCTTACATTGATTGATCAAATGAGCTTTTGATAATAAAAATAAATGTACTTATAATTTACAGCTGCTGTGTATAATTCTGTGGCAGTGAATTATAGGACATTGGCACATTATTTATAGTTGAAAAATTTAGTGGTTACTATTAATAATTTTTAGGGCACAATTAGCAATTTTTTGAGTCACAAGAATATTTCTTACTCACACTTTATTATTATTGGTCACACACCAACATATTTATTGGTCACAATTTGTGACCACCACCAACACAAAAGTAAATCCAATTTGGTTCTGCCAAAAGACGTAATCACATAAATTTCACCCTACAAAAAGATTTCTTCAAAAGGATCACCATGTAAAAAGTTATGTTCTTTTTTGTCAAGTTTTCTTCTTCTTTGCATGTGGCTCTGTGGGAGTTGAAGTCTTTTTCTTGCCCTTACCTTGTGATGAAGTTGGCTGTTTATCCTACTGTGTAGAGGCCTTTCTCTTTCCCTTGCCCCGTGATTGAGTTGGTTGTGTATCATGTTATGTGTCCTGCTGTGAACCTGCTTCAGAACATGTTCTCTTGTTATGGCCTGTCCCACCGCATTTTTTACATGTCATTTTCATTCCAGCCCTTGCCATTTTGGAGCCTACAGGTGGCTCTACTTACGATCTTTTTCTCGGCTTCTTTGGTCTACTTGTCTGTTTCTTCTTCACATGTGGATTAAGAGGATGTTTCCCCAGCTCTGGCCACAACTCTGGACCTGATATTGGTTGGATGACTGGGCTGTAGGACCTCATGTAAGATTATTTGATGTAGCATACATCTACATACTCATTTATGCCAATGTTTCTCGATAACATCCAAGACATTGCATGCGCATAAAGTATTCCAGTAAGCTGCCATTTTCTGCATGTACATACACGCTTCATCAGATCCACACTCCATCTCATTCCATCCCTATTGCTCACTTCAAACTTTTCACTTCCAGCATAGTTAGCCTCAAGAATCTTGCCTTTACCCTTGCTTTCTCAATAATATTCATAACTCTAGGACCAAAAGCGTGATCCCACCTTTGTGCAGCTTCCCTTTTGGCATTCATCCTCAGCATTTGCTGATATCTTATCTTCTCAAGCATTGAGATAATAGACTTTTCTCTTGCCACAACTATCGAAGAGTTGAATGTCTCACACAAGTTATTCAGTAGGATGTCGCACTTTGAATAATCCTGGAAATGTGATGCTCCGCTATGATGTTGGTTTCTCATTAAACCACTTAACGCTTCTTTATTCATATTTTTCATTGCACTTCTCCACTTTGGTACTGTTGTTGCCCGTGCTATAGCCCAAAACATGCTATTCAGAGTCAGTCCCTTATGCACTAAGGTGAAATTACTTTATAAATATCTTGCACAGCACCTATGTTCAGCTCCCTTACATAAAAAATTTATGGAGTCTACCAAGCCCTTCTATTTGTCAAAAATGAAGGTCGAAGCTCTAGCATTACACATCCCAATATCAACTACTAAAAGCTATAAGAACCATTCCTAATTTGTTAAATTCTCTGTATCTACAAAAGCCCAGGCTACAGAAAACATGCAATTGTCGGCATCAATACCTACTGCAGCCAACAACTGCCCTCCTTGTGCGCTTTTTAGGAAACATCCATACAAACCAATCACATTCCTACACCCAGTTCTAAAGCCTTCTTTGCAAGCCTCCAAACGTATGTACATTCTTTTGAATGTATCATCTTCCCCTTCAATTCTCAATGTACTACCAGGATTTGTTCATTTCAACTCCTCACCATAGTCCCACAGGATCTTGTACTGTTCAGTCACAATGTTGTTGACAACTTCTGCACATTTAGCTCGTGTCCTATAAAATTGATGTTTAGAGATCTCATACATACAATCCTCCTTCACCGTCTCTATAAAACTGTTCATGGATATTTTTAGGTTAGATCTGAACTTTCGTATATATTTTTTTGCCAAGTAACTAGCATGAACTCTTCGATTCTGCCACACCATTGTGCATGTATGTTCGTCTCTAAATGTGTTAATCCTGAAACTTTTGTATGGTTGCTTGTAGGCATACAAAAGTCATGAACAGTTGTCTTGACATTTGACTCGTAGTTTTGTCCCGTCATTCTTGACATATTTGACATGCCATGCATTTTTAACGTTGTACTGTACAACCGCTTCCCTCAATATCTTTATGTTGTCAAACTTCATGCCTATTCGGAATTGTGGATCTTGTATGTCTGTAGCGAGATTAAACCAATGCTCATTCCTAGCTCTTGAAGAGCCACCAACTTCTTCGGTATCACCGGAATACTTCTAAGATCGTCTGACTCATCATAGTATGTTCCATCACCATCTACCCACCTTGCTCCACTCTCATGTTCTGTCCTCGGATTTTCATCACTAATATCAAAACCCTCAGACAACCTGAAATATGTATCTTCATCATTATCATCACCAAGCACATCTTCCTCATGCTCGTAATCTGAATCACTGAACTCCTCCACCATGCCTTCCTCAAATTCCATCTCACTATATCGTTCGCTAGTGTGGGTATGGTCCACATTTTCAGCAACATCAGGTGCTTCATCTGGTGGTGCAGCTATAGGGGGTGCAGTAGGTGCCCGACTGATCACTCATATTATGCTCACCCGTAGGTACATGATCTTTTGAAGGGGAAGGGAGTACATCTGCTAGTGGTGTATCAACATGGGGTGAAGCAGCAGGGGTTTCATCAACACGAGCTATCCAACGAAACTCATATTGATATACTTTTAGTCGCTTTAACAATATCTAAAAAATGTAAGCCAAAATCGAAGTTAATACATATATCACTTTAGTCCTTCAACTTTTTTTAAAAATAAAATATGACATGTAAAATAATTAAATTCTATTCTAAAAATTTTGGGGTGTTACAACTTGGACGGGTGTTTTAACACTAGTAATATTGAATAGTATTACGCTTCCCTAGTAGTCGCAATTTTTTTATTAGGGAGTACTTGTTACTTTATGTCACATAAAAATATGGATTATGTCATTTGTTTACATAATTGTTGACAACAAATAAATGGATGAAAACCTCATTTTCTTTTTAAAATGT